AGACTGAGGCAAAGAAGTCATTAAGAACCTCTTCTCTCTGCTGCTATGCCTTAAAGAGAACCTGGATCCTAAATTTATCCCATCACTTCTTTCTCTCTACCATGCAATTTAGTTCTTTTAAAGGTGTAAAACAAGACACTGACAAAGCAGCAAATATTTCCTGTGGGAATATTTTGCTTAAAAGCTTTGCCTAAGCTATCTGGTGTACTGTTATTTCTGTGTTTCTGCTCCAACCAACCCTCCTCCATTCAATCATTGTTTTTCTTTAGTAATCAGAGTCTCCTCGCAGCCCTTTGTGAAATAATTCCAGGTTTTACTGCTGCTTTTATTCTTTTCACAGTAACATGCAATTTAAAAATTCTGCCTGATTTATTTCACCATGCTTTCTATGGAAATTTTTTCAGACAGGGCAGACAAAATAGCTCCCCAACACCAGCATGCATAACAAAGGTAATATATCAGGAACATATTAAGCAAAAAGCACCATGACAATTAGTATTTTATGAATTCACAGGTATCCTTTACTCTCAGATTACTCCCTGTGGTGCAGTTGTTTGACATTATTTGTAGGTGTCTGTATTCAAACCCTGGTTCAAAATTACAGTGCTGTTCTTCAACATACCACAGAGTACATAAAATGAATTCTCAGGAGCATCATGTCACAAATAGCACTCCACCAGATGATAATGTATTCTTATGATAAATTTATGCTTCCGTGCATGGAGTTTATCTCAACCAATAGCGATTAGAGGACATGAAAGAAAAAAATCTTGTACCTGCATCTTCAGGTGGCTGACAGTCATCTAGCCAACACTGACTGAACAGCAAGGAGTTGACCAAAGAATCAGGCAAAACTAAACGGTTTGGTTCTAAGAGCTACCCTGTGCTGCATACACCAAATATATGCAGTGGAGTTCCTTTTTCTTTCAGAACCTTTTAGAAAAGACATCAACTCTTCCTTGGTAAAGCATCCTGAATCTACCAGATTTCCACAGAATCAAACCCTCATCTGAGTCACTTCTGTGAAAGAAAGGAACTTGCTTTTTATTTGATTTTCATACTTTTGAGGGTAACTGAGAGAGACACAAATTAATTGGAAGGCATCTTGAAAGGTCTCTAGTCTCACCTTCTGCTCAAAGCAGGGTCAAATTCGAAGTTAAATCAGTTTCGTGATGGCTTTTTCTAGTAAAGTTTTGAAGGTTACTACTGGCAAGAATGGAGATTTCACAGCCTCTCTAGGTAACTGATTCCAGCAATGGTTTACACTTTGGCTATACCGCATGTATACATATTCCATATACTGAAGCAAACCAAACGTATATTAGTTATTGGGACTTAAGAATATTAGAGGGTGTTTAGGGAACAGGCCAATGTCATCGTGAAGATGGTTTTTATCTTTGAAAGGCCAAGGTGACTATGAAGGTCTCTGGTGACTGGAAAAAGGCAGTCACCACGCCCTTCTTCGAGACAAAAAGAAAGATGTAAGGAACTACAGGACAGTCAGCCTAACCTCTGTTTATGGCAAGATTATGAAACAAACCCTCCTCCAAAGCATTTCCAGACACATGAAGGACAGGAAGACAACTGGGCACAACCACCTTGGGAACAATCAGTCTTTGGATTAAGGGAGAGCAGTAGCCTTCCTTCATCCTAACTTTACGATGCAAGGATTTTGATATGATTACCTAGCATCCAATTTGGGAGCCATGGACTATGGGTAGACTACAAAGTGTGTTAAAACACGTCTGGACTACTGGGTTCAAAGACTAGTGGTGAGTGGTTTTAAGTCCAACCAAGAGCATACTTGGAAATACTCAAAACTTGACTGATAAGGTTCTCAACAACCTGATCCCTATTTAAAGGCAGCCACGTGTTGAAGCAGAGGGCTAGACTAGCTGACCTACATCACTCTATGATTCTACTCAGCCAAATTCCACTGAGCTAGAAAATCAGGACCTTTAGGAAAAGGAGCATGTCTTGCCCTGATAATCAAATACATGTGCAATCCTTGACAAGTGTAAGACACCTCCTAACACCCTCTGAATCTTCACCCATTGTAACACACAGGTGGAGTCAGCAGTATCTCCCAACATGACCTTGACTGTTATGACAGATAAATATTATTCCTACATGCCATTTAACAACTGAACAACTGATAGTTTACACAGTTTTAATAGATGAGGAAAGTACTACAGACAAGTAAGACACTCACTCTCCAGTTCAATAATTTCCATTCTGTTCCCCTCCGTATCATGGCCAACAAATTTCAAACCTTTCTCTTCAAAGTAGTGAGTCAATTCTGGGTTCACCTGAAATATTCAAAGTAAGAATAATCGTAATTCTATTTATTTCTGGATTTAACAAACAGTAGATGTTACTTGTAATGTTTTCACTATGCATACAAGAATAAAAAGAATTGAGAAAAGAGTTGGGAACTTTTGCTTTTTTGTGTTAACAACTCTCTGGTATAAATTTGTAAAAGTGGGCATGCTTATTTATTAAGAGGTGAATTAGTAATCTTAAAACTCACTACATAACATTCCAAAGGTTAAAGCCAGGGTCTCTTCTGCTTGCTGTCCTCTCGATTCTGAGCAGCTTGCATTCCTTACTTTTTAAATGGCCCACTACAGTAGGCATAGAGACTGACCTTCTCTTTGAACACTGCATTTCAGTGGTTATGACACAAGCTGTGGTTCAGCTCCTCCTTCAAACTGAGGAGTTCTACAGTGAGCAGTTTCATTTCCTTGGTGATGTTCTAACCACTCAGTTACTATTCAAACTCTGAACACCTTTACCACAATCACATTCTCCTCCCAGCTTTTTAAGGAAGCTGAATCAGTTTGTAGCATGCACACGTCTCATAGCTCAGGCCCCTTGGTAGATACTGATGGAGTCAAGTCCCTTCTGAACTATCTCAGAAATAACTCTAGGAATCCAGCTCTCACCTATCTCCTCAAATGACGGTATCTTGAATGTACAGAGATGTTCTCAAACAGAGGGGTGGACCTATACAAAAGGCATACAGAGTCGGATGGTAAGAAGCAAGTGATCTGAATTAGCCTCCAAGTTGTAGATGCCTGAAGTCCACCTACATTTGATGCCTGAAGTCTACCCACATATGAAAGAATGTGCACTACCTGGACATATTCTAAACTGTTAAATAAGCCAAATCACCCAAGGATCGATGCATTTAAGGATTATAACCCTTCAGCTTTCAAATACTTCACAAAAAGTCAAGTAATCTCTGATATCACTCTCTAAGACCATTTTGCTAAGACACTGCAACTTCTCTACCACAGAAACATTACATTACATTACACTACATTACATTACAGTACACTACATTATTTCCCTCTGTTGATCACTTGCAAGAACACCTCTGGAATATTGTGCCTAGTTTCAGGCCCCTCAGTACAAGAAAGAGATTGACAAGATGTTGCAAGTCCATAGGAGATCCAGGATGACTAAGGGGCTGGACCACATGCAGCATAGCAGGAGAGACTGGATGAGCTGGATTTGTTCAGCCTGGAGAAGAGAAGGCAGAGAGTGGATCTTGATGCTGACTTCAACTATTTAATGGAATGGTATAAAGAAGACTGAATCAGACTATTCTGAGAAATGCGCAGCACAAGACTGAGAAATAAAAGGCAAACTGCCCAAGGAAATGCCCTATTACATATAAAGGAAAAAGGGGATCATAATGAAGTGGTTAAGCATTGGAACAGATTGTGAAAAGATCAACATCTTCATCTTCAGAGAGATTCAAAACTACATGGAACAAAATCCTAAGCAGCCTGATCTAATTTTGAAGCTGGCTCAGCTCAAAACAGGGAGTTGGACCAGAAGGGGTTTCTTTTGATCTAAATTACACTATGTATTACTAAATTTTGGGTTATGTTTCTTCATTGGTTTTATAGAGTCATGCCTACCAAGAGAAACGTAGTTTGCTTAAGCTTTAACTTTTGAATACAAACTACATTAGCAATCCTTACCTCATATCGATGCCTGTGCCGCTCCTCCACAAATATTTCATCACCATAAAGTTTCCCTGAATACACAAGGAAAGAGAAATTAATGCTAATGTGTTGCTTTAATAGTTATTGCAAGTATTTTTTTTAATTTAAAAATGTCATATGTAAAACATAACAGGACATTCCAACTTTATGCTTTTCTGAGTGATGACTAGTTTATTTTAGTTTATGTTACCTAAGTTTATTCAGGATTCTCATTCAACATTCCTTAACCAGAAATAGCTCAGGTAGACTAGAGTCTAAAGGCCATGCTTAAACTAATTTAAATTGTAAAGCCCAAAATAAAATAAGTTTGAATGAACAAGCAACATAAAATCCCTTCAGGGTTTTACAACAGTTGTACACAATAGGTGCAGCGAAGGAAGCATTTTAGTAGCATCTGTTCCATTTTAATAGATTATGCATGGCAGCTGGCATAATACCTCCGATTCTCCAATATTCTCCAATACAGAGAATATTGTTTTCCTCTCTTTTCCTGATCTCATTACCCAAAGGACTCTTGGAGTTCACTGAGCCTAATCTGGAACACTCTACATTCCAGAGCAACAAGGAGTAAGTTAGAAGCATGCAGTTAACCAGAATTTAATTGTATCTCTCACTTACAGTCATGGCGCAAACTTAGTTCTCAATTTATCTTAGAGTCATTAGGACTACTATCTCACTTAAAGGTTGGTACAGGAACTAGACTGCTAAGAAGATCTCAAAAAACTGTGGAGTGATACTACTGCAATTTTACAAAAATGTAAATATGCATTAATTTCAAGGAACTGCCTTTTCAAATTGAATTATTTCCATTCAAGTTGTAAAGCATCAAAAACAGGAATAAGATTTCCTGAGTAAATTAACAGAGTTTTCTATGAGTCTTTGATAAAGTGAGGACTACAGCAGTGAGGCCAGGTGACATTTAAAGCTGGCAACTCTAGAGAATGACAAGCATTATTTAGGTCTGTCAAGAGCATAATGCATAGGAGTTTGGGGCAGTTCTACCAAAAAACTTCAGGAGTAGAACAAGCCGTCCTGGTTCACACATCCTATCAACTCATAAACAAAATAGGAAGAAAATGTTCTGATCTTCCCCAAAAATAATGACTTAAACTATCTGCTTTTCAGTTATCTCAAGATTCCTTATTATTTATTTAAAGTGTTGGACCCTAACTGATCTTTTCACTGAGACTTCTAGATGTCTCTCATTTCTTTCTTTACATTCCAGTCCTGGGTAAATGTATATGGGAATAAGATCAGAGTGAATGAGCTCAGGGAAGCTGCCACCCAAATACTTGCTTGAGGTTGTAGTACTATAACAAATTGTGCTTTAGCGTTTTTGCTTTGCCACGTTACAGAGTTCCTACCCAAAAGGCAAGTCATAAGAGCAGAAATTCTTACTGAAACTTACTTAAAACAGAACTTACTTAAAACAGAATTTTGTGTTTTGAAAACAGTCCTCCTCTTCCCCAGTCTCATTGTTCCACCCATATCTCCAGGATTGTGTTCTGGCATGTCAATAACCTGTAGAGAAAAATTGTATAAACACTGTTTCATCCAACACAGAAAAAAAAGCAACAACTGCGTAATAGGTTGCACAGATTTATAAATGGTAATATTATTAATTTTTCCTCTAAGCATTCCAAATTATGACTTCTCTTTAGTTTCCCTAAAGCTTTGTTCTAAGTATTGGGACTGTACTAGACTGAGGGTATTAGCTAACTGGTGTGAAACTTTTTAATGTAAGATTATGATCAACAAAAGCAATTTATTATTAATTCCTTAATTTTGGGGCTAGAAAAAAGCTTTTTTTTTAAAAAAAAAAAGATACCAAAACATTAGCAATATGATAATTCTGCCACAGTCTATTCTTTGTTTCTGTAAGAGTACGTTCATTTTTTAAAACTGATAAATTCATAGATGAAAAAATCCTCCAAGTAATAAAGACAGCATCTCTGAAAAAGCAAGTCCCTGAACCACACAGTGATAGAATCTGAAAGATTACCCTGGGTAAATACTCCTGTACACCAGTCCCTTTCCTGTACTGTTCTTTATAAAGAATGTTCCTTCTTACACTAAGAGGCAGAAACAGCTGTTGTATGAAGACAGCAAAAGTCCTCTTTTTTGGGAAGTGGGGAGAAGAGGAGGGCATGGAGCAGGAGTGAAAAGAAGGCACTTGTAATAAGACTATAATCTGATGTTGTAAAAGCAGAGTACTAAAAGAGGCAACTCCCACATTTCAGGTTATGTACGTAACTAATTTATCACTGGGAGAAAATGGAAAAATATTCCCCTCTAATTCACCTTTACTTGAGATTCATTTGTACTTCAGATTGCCTAAGAATCCACAAAATACTGGACTACCTTGTATGTAGAATATGCTGTTTAACATAAAATTCGAAGAAGAGAATATACAAATACTGGGTTTGAGGACTGAAATGGATGAGTCAAATGGCTGCTACATGGGTCAAGTGGAATTCAGGATGGTGGGATTCAGAGGATGTGAGAAACTATGGTTTAGTGGAAGGCGTGCGTTTAGTTTTGCTCAGTTTGAAAAATCCTGCTGGGTCTCACAATCATGCGAGAAGGCAGACTTAAAGGAAGTCTGTCTCAGAGAGGTAAAACAGTTTAAAAGTGTAGAAACACATGAGCAGAAACTATGACTAATGTATTCACATATAGACAGTCAGTGAAGAATGTAATTGACAAAGAAAGGTTCTAAAAATACAAATATTCATACATATGGGTAATCTGGAATTGGATTTTTATTAACCTTAATTTGCCCTCTGGGAGTAATGAAAACAATTTCTGATGATACACCTCATAAAGTGAAATTATTCAATTTAGAAGGGATGGTGGAAAGTGCTTAGCCTTTGGCCTTGTGCCAATGCATTTCAGCTGTGCAATTATCTCTGTATAACCTTATACCTCCAAACTGTTATTTATAAGCTATATACTCATTACAAAATGTCACAAGCAGGAGTTGTGATCAAACCAGTGGGATATTACAAATACCTTAATTACCTCTCAGATCATGAAGGTGAGGACTATACAGAAAAAAAATAAATTAAATATTCATTGAAATCTTATTACTTCAAAAATATGGAATTGTCTGCTTTTTCCTTTATTTCTATCCATTTACTTTCACTTTTTTCCTGAAGTAGTGGCCACAGAACAACACAGGACATCAGAAGTGGTTAAAATGTATATAGCATATTGTGTGCATGTGTCAAACACTCTGATCCTCTGAAATCAAACACAATTTTTCTGTGAGGTGTTATTTATTTGCCTACACCCCTACTACAGATAACCTTAAAAGTTACACTCCTGACTCCTGTCAAATGGAGATGAAGTAGTAACAAGCAGCTATCAAGTACTTCCAAGTATCTGCTTCTCTTGCAATTACAAAAATTTCACTTTAACAGCTGCTAATATGACAGCTGTATTGAGTTTTGACATCAAGCAGCTTACTGCATGTGTTCATGTTTTGTTATTAATATGAGCATTATAAGCCAGCTCTCCATCTTGCCCAAAATCTTTAGGTTTATGATAGTAAGAAAATAGACACTTCAAATATTTTTTCGTAGTCAGGTGAGGAAAGAAGCTACTTATGAGGCATTACCTCCAAGTTACTCTGGCTCTGAATCTTCCCTTCTGATATGCTCTGTGGCTCTGATCAACTATCACAGCACAACCCTTAATGCTTATATATTACATGACTTTCTCTGCAGCTTTTGAAAGCAAAGTCACACTGCTGACCTTACAGCCTAAGGACAGTAATAAGCATCAGAAAAGCAACTCATTATGGAAAATTATGGAAAATTTTGCCACATTCATCAGAATTCATCTGATCAGATAAAAGATGAACCTTCAAGTGGTAGTTATTTTGAATAACTGTGCAACTGAACAGATTCTTCAAAAAGCTTATGCTTCCTGACACAGAATAAATCAGCTCTTACTACGCAACAGTTCTTTGAAGAGTGGAAAACAGCACAGAACAAGAGGTACCACAAGCAACAAAAAGGCATCAGTAGTGAGGATGCAAAAAGTGATAAGGCATTTCTTACTCAAATCTCTGAAAACTGCCAGCATGACAGGGATTTTACAGAGATCACATATTACACATAGCTAACAGCCAACGTGAAATAAATAATCACTCTGACATAACTCAAAGCACATCCGAGATATAAACCAGCCTGATCAGTATTAAATCATGCTACTGATGAATAGCGACTTTAACTACCCATGAACTGCAATCTTATTTCAGAAATCTACTGCTTGAATTGTTTTACTGTTGTTAGGACACATATGAAAATTAATGAGAAAACCTCTCAAGCCCAGACACTCAACACGGTGCAACCAAGGCCCTGAAAACACACACCTATCATTTTAGTAATCACCCCTGGACCATTAAGTTTTGTCTTTGCTTTGCTTCACAGCCTGCAATGCCATTTTGAAAAATACATCTACTTTGGTTACTGGGGCTGGGGGGGGATGTTAGGGGTGTATGTTCAGGTTTTGTCTGGGGACAATGGAGGAGGAAAGGTGGGAAGCGTTACTTGATTTGAACAAGTCATTGGGAAATCAGCTTTGGAAGCAGATTTTTAGGGGGGTTGCCTTTTTACTTTGCCCTCGTCTGCCGAGGAAATGATTTGTCACTGCTGAAATAAATTGCTACACATGTACGTGCTGATCAAAGCATCAGGAGAAGCCCTGACCCTAAAGATTAATTGAACACTGAAAAGAGGGTCTAAGAACACTCAGCACACAAGAGATGTACAGAGGGACAGGTACTGATGAATATTAATTAATCCCTGCTGAACAACACGAACTGACAAGGACTCAACCCAAACTATAGAGGAACCCATTCTTTTACTGCCTCTTCCATGCAGGATTTGTCAGTACTGGCTAGATTCAATCTATCTGTTTCATTCACAAGTTCATCAATAAACAGACCCAGCCACCCACAAATGGGATGTTTATTTTAACATTTTAGAAACAATATTACAATCATTTTAATGAAAAGAATTGGCAGACACAATACTAAGTATGGTACTGACAGATTCCAGCTTGGCAAGTAAAGCAAAAATACATTCTTTCCCTGTTCATTCAAAACCAAGGTTTAAACATTTTCAGTTACCGAAAGAAGGTGCATGGATCACATATCTTCCAGAATCCCCTATTCCCTTTTCTCCCAAAGATATCCTAGTTCTGAGCAAACCCCATCACTGCCTACCTATCGAAAGCACACAGCCCTCGAGTGCCAAAGCCACTTGCTCAAGTGCCATAAAGCCACTTGCAGATTTCAGACTACTCAGTGCTTTATTACTCTGACTGAAGTAATGTTTGTTTTCAAAAAGATGACCACCATCATGCATAAGATCAAAGCAGAAATCATCTATAGCTGGCTCATGCAGCTATACAGTGACATGAACAACTAGCTTGAAAAATCCTGTCCTCTACTCTCTTCACTAAACTACAGCACAGTATCCAAATATTCCAACAAGTATCTTAAACTTCTTAAACTTTTAAAATCCCATGGCCTGTTACTGCCAAACATTTTCCAGTTTGGGAAATCCTCTTTTCCAAAGATTTGTTGTTTCCTATTTTAGAATTAAGTAACTGCCCTTGAGCATTTATTTAATTTAAAGCCTAAAAACTCTCTAGGAAGGATTGTGCCTGAATAAGCAGAAATTCTGGTACAGAATGTTTTGTAACGTTTTCTTCAGAAAATGTCACAAAGGGTGTAACCACTTTTTCAAACAGTGCTTGCTTACCCATAAGCAAAGTGCAGTAAATAGAAAAAGTTAAAGAGATGTTGATATGCAAAGCCTATATAGATATTGCTTAATAGATTTTAGAACTCATTCTAGTTATTCCAACCATATGTCCCAGAGTCAGCTTAAAGACTTAATCAAGCAGAAATGTTCAAACTGTCAGTGTTACAGCAAAAGGAATCAGGTCAGACAGCGCTGGCTATAGAAATACACTGGAGAGCCAGTCATGCTGTGCCAGGGAGTACAGGATTTGTCAGACTTGAATAACTAAAGGAAAGTGGAAGGGTGCTCTCAGGCTTTGGACCAGTCCAGCTCATACCACAATTAATGACCAAATACTCGCTAATTTAACTTCAGAGAGATCAGCACATCTATAGCCAGGAGAAATCCTTCACTTTGTACCACATAAATCTATTGGAAAATCAGAACTCTGCCACTGCCTTTGAGGGGGACTTCTCCAACTGAAATTAACAGTAGGTAAAATTTTGCCTTTACTAATACATGAAGCAAGCCTGTGTCTGGGCATTCTAAAGCAGAGGGAAGAATCTAGAGAGGGAGACAGAGCCTGGTGCTCTCTTCATCAAACAGCCCGGCCACAAAGACAAGACAGGGATAATCAAACACAGCCTGAGATTGTTTAAATAGTAGTAGGTTTGATGCTTCCTGACTCTGCCAATTATATCCTACAGGCAACTGCCATGGAAGACTTGGCCACAGACAAGCCCCACTAACTAAGCTATGCAAGGT